ATGTAGTTTCATGACAGGTCCTTGCCGTGAAGGTTTGAAATGGCAGGACGACCTGGGAATGTTGTTCGTTCGGGCAATTTCCGTGGTAGTAGCGATAAAGCACCGACAGTCTTGCCACACCTCGCCTGTGAGAGTGATGTCGGATGGTGGTAAATAATTCGTCAGCCACAAAGGATCCGAGACTCTTTTGTGTAGCTCCCGCCTAAATATGACAAAAGTACTCCATTTTTTTTTTTTTTTTTTTTTTTTAGTCCGATCTGGCTCTTGTAAAACTAGAGACTAGAAGGAGGAGTCAGGTACTTCATTATTATCATCATCCTTCGACCTTCCTATGGTTGGTCGGAACACCAATGACAATCCCTTTCCGCACTGTTCGGTCCTGTATCGCTATCCCCAGATATCTAAGTCGAAACCCCGAGTCCCGAGCTATGGTGTCCTTTGTGAGAAGACAATTCCAGAAGGATACTGCAGGAGTAACGATGAGACAATTTCCCTGTCCGCTACAGGAAATTATATATATATATATATATATATATATATATATATATATAATTTAATGTTAGTTAGATCCAATGACAGGATCCAAAGAATGTGAATTCAATACCTAGTTAAGGCGGTGGAGAACTTTGAGTGGGAAATTAACAGGAGATTGACATCCATTAGACGTGGCACGTGTAACAAGAACAGTCTACCATGGTGAGCGAAATAATGGGTTCAGTTCGACATTTCAACCACATGAAGAAGGCCGGAGCGAACAACGGCCGAAACGTTGTTATAAACATGGCGACAAAGATGAGGACAATAGTCCGAATAATGTGAATATATATATATATATATATATATATATATATATATATATATATATATATATATATTTAAAAACAAGGAATGTATTGATTTTAGTCCTAAAGGCCCTTTCAACCAACATCTCATCAGGAGACAATCGTTGGATGAACGAAAAGAATATTAACGACAATGAAGAGCAAAAAGATAGTGGAAACACACTAAAAAACAAACAAGTGTATATATTTGTAACGAGGGGAGGGGAAATAATCGTGTAAATAAATTAGCGAGGGACAGTTAAAATAAAATATCCCCCAACAGATTAAGAGACTTTACAAATTCTTTCTGCCGGCAGAGAGAAGTTTTCCTTAATCCTATGCAGACCGATTCCAAAATCTTCAAATGATTGTTGGAATCGGGTGTATGAATAATTTTAAACCACTCTTTTTTAAACGACTTGGCGCAGGCTATATTCTCAACTAAATGTTGAGCAATAGCCGATTCCATATTCATGGGGGGAAGATAGCATATTTTATCTATCTTACCAAGTCGTATTTTGGAAGGTACATGCTGATTTCCAAATGCAAGGTTGTACGCCCCACATAACCAGCAGCACACTGGCAATTAAACTCATATACTAAATTACTCAATTATATATATATATATATATATATATATATATATATATATATATATATATATATCATCATCATCATCATCATCCGACATCCCTATGGTTGGTTGGAACTCCATTGACAATCATTTTCCACACTGTTCGGTCTTGTATTGCTGTCCCCAGATACCCAATGTCTAACCCTGAGTCTCGAGCTATGGTGTCTGGGAAAGTCAATTTTTGTGAGAAGACAATTCCAGAAGAATACTGTAGGAGTAAAGGCTGAGACAATTTCCCTGCCCCTCCGCAATTAATATTATATATATATATATATATATATATATATATATATATATATATATATATATATATATATATATATCATCCTTCGACATCCCTATGGTTGGTCGGAAGTCCATTGACAATCCCTTTCCACATTGTTCGGTGTCCCCAGATTCCTAAGTCGAACCTTGAGTCCCGATCTATGGTGCCTGGGAAAGTCAAATTTTGTGAGAAGACATTTCCAGAAGGGTCCCGTAGGAGTAAGAATGAGACAATTTCCCCAACCGCTCGGTGGTAATTAATGTATATATATATATATATATATATATATATATATATATATATATATATATATATCATCTTCATCATCATCATCATCCTTCGACATTCCTATAGTTAGTTGGAACTCCATTGACAATCCCTTTCCACACTGTTCGGTCCTGTATTGCTGTCCCCATGTCCCCAGATGCCCAATGTCTAACCCTGAGTCCCAAACTTTCGTGAAAATACACGTCCAGAAGGATGCCATAGGAGTGAGACGATTTCCCTGTTCTCTCGGTGGCAGACAGTAATCGCTTTTGTTTGAGCTTCAGAGAAATTGGTCTCAGTTTTCCGTAAATTGTGTCCAGCGTTGCATGGGATCTCCAACTGATGTTCTGGATTTTTCTAAGTAGATTTGTATAAATTCTATCCAGTTGTCTTTCAAGACGAACAGTTAATGTTCAAGTCGTCATGAAAGTTCTTTCGTAGCTGATACAAAATGTGGGATGCCAACCCTTCATCCGGGAAATGTACGCCAGGTTCTTACTGGAGCGGTACAGAGAGCCGGCCATTTTACCTTTTATATTTTTGCTTCTGAAATGATTTACGTGAACGTGTACGAAACGGGTAAAGATGGTCGAAAAGTCAGCTTCGCGCTGAGTTGGAATGACCGAACCTCTACTTTATGAGTAGGGCTGATGTCGTTGGTAAGTAGGAAAAGTTCAGTCGTCGTTTGATCTAGGAAATTAACATTTTTCAGTGGGAACACGTTTACCGTGTCGTTCTTGAAGCCAAGATGAGAAAGAGAAAGATTCTGTCCTTTCCAGAAGTGTGTGTGTGGGGGGGGGGGTCATAAAATCGCACATGTGACCAGAGAAAATTTTCCGGTTTCTTTTTAACTTGCATCATGGGAAAATGAATTAATCTGTTGGTTTGTTTTATTTTTTCGTTATTATTATTTTATTTATAGGTCTTATTTTATTTTCCCAACAGCTTTCATCAGGGTGGACTGTAATAAAACATTGGGGTCTGCGTTTGAGAATATATTTCAAAGGACTATATGGTAATCCCGGTGGTAAATACATTTGAGTGCAGGTGCGAAAGACTTTCAGAAGGAGAGAAAGGCCTAATCGGGTAGATAGCAGTAAAATGTTTGTGTTTACGTGTGATCATTTTTTATATATATATATATATATATATATATATATATATATATATATATATATATATATATATATCTATATTTCTGAGATTAGGTGTTATGTACAGTATTTACATTAGTCGGACTATTGTCCCTCATTTTGTCGCCATATTTGTCACAACGTTTCGGCCGTTGTACGCTCTGGCCTTCTTCAGGTGGTTGGAATTTCGAACTGAACCCTCAAGGGCACATGGCACAGTGGATAAAGGCGTTGGTTAGATCCAGTGACAGACCCAAAGAGTGTGAGTTCAATACCCGTTTAAGGCAGTGGAGAACTTTCAGAGGGAAAATTAGCAGGAGATAACTGATAACTGACATCCATCAAACATGGCACGTGGAACTAGAACAGTCTACCCCAGTGAGCGAAATAAAGGGTTCAGTTCGAAATTCCAACCACCTGAAGAAGGCCGGAGCGTACAACGGCCGAAACGTTGTGACAAATATGGCGACAAAGATGAGGATAATAGTCCGACTAATGTAAATACTGTATATATATATATATATATATATATATATATATATATACATATATATATAAATATTTAATGACAAACAGACAACTTTAAGGTACCATTATGATAATTTATTTCACCAAAATCCTTTTAAAGGACTCCGGATCATCAGGTAACAATTCCAACAAGGAAATGAAAGGAAAAAATGGGATTAGAAATTGATGGGTAGTGTAATTTAACTATACACACATATATATATATATATATATATATATATATATATAGATAGATAGATAGAGAGAGAGAGAGAGAGAGAGAGAGAGAGAGAGAGAGAAAATAATAATCAGGGTGGGTAGTAATAATTATTTATTTGTACGTTTGTACAAAATCTGGCACAAGGCCAAAAACAGGGCGTTGGGGAAGGACGGTCATCTTCTGTCTTAATTCTAAACTTAGCTAGTCACAGACACGGACCCAAACATACCAACAATATTCCTATCACCAAAACAACACCTTCACTCCTACCTTTCTTACTGCGTCCACCATAATACCTCAAATTCTCTATGAAATCCTAACTAGAGGGTGGGTAGTAATAAATTATTGGAGTTCGAGTTTCAGAATTTATTACAAAGCGAACATACGGTAATGAAGGTGGGGAAAAATAAAATAAAATATTTGGGTGTGGCTGCAAGAAGTTTCAAGAAAGAATATGCAGTAATGATGTAATGGTAATATTCGCCGTTTCCCTATAAGGAAACATTTTACTATTCATTGACCAAGCAGCTAGTACTGCTTTCGGTTGAAATTTATAAGATCTTTCTCTTGAAACACTTTCGAGTCGAGATCAAAGTGTAGTATTTGTTCTTTACATATCTAATGGTATTATAGCCGTTTCCATATAAGGAAACATTCAGTATTCGTTAACCGAGGGGCCAGTGTTTCTATTAAAACAATTTTTCAGTAAAATAGGTTTCTCATGTCCTCTGCTTTTTCCAACATCTTTCTTGATTGGGGGTTTCCTTCCTAACCTTTTGTTTGATATAGTGTGGAATGTCATCATCTTGGTTATACCTTTATTTTCTTATCGGGTTACATGTGCTATGCATTTTAGTAGTTACTACTGTTGGTAGTCCTCAAGTGATGTGGTTTCTGTTATTTGGTACAGTTCTTTGTGATTCTGTAGCGCCAGTCTACAATGTTAAAAGAAGGATGATCTTTGCCAAGACACCTCAGGCTTTAATCGCTCAAAGCCATTTTGGACCATTGTAACAAAGCATTATTAAAATTAACTTTCTTGCGAGAGGCTTTGAAAAGGTGAAAAACTAGGAAAATCAGATGAATAAATTATTTCTTAAAAAGATGTTTAATTGCAATTTTTTTATTTAAAGTATATTGTCTTGTCTTGATCTTAAGATATAAAGATAATAAAAGAACGGGATAGATAGATAGATAGATAGAGAGAGAGAGAGAGAGAGATTGAGAGAGAGAGAGAAAGAGAACTATGAAAATATTGAGATAGATAGATAGATGTGAAAACTCTTAGATAGATAGATAGATAGATAGATAGATAGATAGATAGATAGATAGATAGATAGATAGATGTAAAAACACTTAGAAAGAGAGAAAGATATGAAAATATTGAGATAGATGTGAAAAAGATAGAGAGAGAGAGAAAGAGAGAGAGAGCTATGAAAATATTGAGATAGATAGATAGATAGATAGATAGATAGATAGATAGATAGATAGATAGATAGATATGAAAACTATTAGAGGGATAGATAGATAGATAGATAGATAGATAGATAGATAGATAGATAGATAGATGTGAAAACTATTAGATAGATAGATAGAAAGAGAGAGAGAGAGATATGAAAATATGGAGATAGATAGATAGATAGATGTGAAAACTATTAGATAGATAGATAGATAGATACATAGATAGATAGATAGATAGAAAGAGAGAGATATGAAAATATTGAGATAGATAGATAGATAGATGTAAAAACTATTAGATAGATAGATAGATAGATAGATAGATAGATAGATGTGAAAACTATTAGATAGATAGATAGATAGATAGATAGATAGAAAGAGAGAGAGATATGAAAATATTGAGATAGATAGATAGATAGATAGATAGATAGATAGATAGATAGATGTGAAAACTATCAGATAGATAGATAGATAGAAAGAGAGAGAGATATGAAAATATTGAGATAGATAGATAGATAGATAGATAGATAGATAGATAGATAGATAGATGTGAAAACTATCAGATAGATAGATAGATAGAAAGAGAGAGAGATATGAAAATATTGAGATAGATAGATAGATAGATAGATAGATAGATAGAGTTCTTTGTGATTCTGTAGCGCCAGTCTACAATGTTTAAAGAAGGATTATCTTTGCAAAGACATCCAAGGCTTCAATCACTCAAAGCCATTTGCGGCTATTGTAACAAAGCATTATTAAAATTAACTTTCTTGGGAAATACTTTAAAACTTTTACAAGGTGAAAAAACATAAAGAATCAAATGAAGAAATGATTTCTTTAAATTAATTTGAATTACACATTTTGCAACACATGAATAACTATTATTTAGTTTTTATTTTGTTTTTTTAATGCTGCAAACATTTTTTTCAAATACATGTAACTATATACAATGGCTGTGATGATAATAGCCGTTTCTCTATAAGGAAATATTTTGCCATTCATTGACCGAGCAGGCTGCTTTCTGTTGACATTTCCGAAATCTTTTAAGGAAAATAGGTTTTTCAAGTTCAGTATCTCTTATCCCTCTTTCCGGTATTAATGGGGGTTTCCTTTCTAACCTTTTCTTTTGAAGTCGTGTGGAATGGTAACATTTTGATTATGGCGTTATTTTCTCTTTGAGTTAAATGTGCTATCCATTTTAGTTGTTGCCGCTGTTTGTAGTCCTGAAGTGATGTGGTTTCTGTCATTTGGTACAGTTCTTTGTTTGTGATTCTTCAGCGCTAATCCACAAAGTTCAAAGCAGGGTGATCTTTGCCAAGATCCTCAGGCTTTACTAGCTCAAAGCCTTTTATCACCATTGCTGGGGGGTTTCCTACCTAACCTTTTAATTGAAGTGGTGTGGAACATCAACATCTTGATTGCCATTATATATATATATTTTTTTTGTTATCGAGTTACATGTTTCCATCATCATCATCATCATCATCATCATCATCATCATCATCCTGCGGCCTCAGCCGAGATTGAACTCACTACACCTCTCCAGTATTCCCTATCCGTCATAGCACCTAAAAGATCTTCCTTAGGGATCAATGTGTCTCGTTTTATCCTATCTGAAAAGGTTAACTTGCGTGATCGATTGTCAGATGATGGGTGCCTCCAGAGTACAAATGATGACACAGGTTCATCTGTGACACGTGCACAATGCCCGGCGAACTGGACACTTTTTTTCCAAAGTAAGGTTGATACTCTCGGCAAGTCTCCATATATCATTTCTAGAGTTGGGCGGTTTCGCCATGAGAGATTAAGCACTCTTCTTAAAAGACGTGTATAACATCCATCTAAACGGCGCTGTTGTTTTGCTAAGAGACTCCAAGTTTCAGAGCCATAGAGTAAGATTGGCTCAATAAGTACGCGGAAACGTTGGATTTTGAATTGACGAGCAAGATTGGATTTCCAGATCTTATCCATTTTGTTACAAGCAGTCCATGCTATACCTTTTCTAATGTTGAAGTCTTTCTCAGAGTTCTTGATGTGTGATCCTAGATACTTGTAGTCTTCGACACATTTGAGGATGTTGTCTGAGAGTGTTTTGATCTCATGATTGTTGCGAATGTTAATTGGCATACACTCAGTTTTGGTTTCATTTAGGTGAAGACCTGCACAGTTAGCTGCTGACTCAAGAAGAGAAAGGAGTGCTTGGGCACTAGTGAGGTTGTCGGACAACGTGTTTCCATATAGATGTTACCATATACAATGTTAATGGCAATATTAGCCGTTCGCCTATAAGGAAAATTTGATATTCATTGACCAAGCAGCCAGTACCGTTTTCGGTTGAAATTAATAAAATCTTTCTCTTAAAACATTTTTTGTGGGCAAAACAGGGCCCTCAAGTCCAGTAGCTGTTATCGCTCTCTCTACTATTGATGGGGTGGGTTCCTTCCTAACCTTTTATTTGAAGTGTGGAACGTTAACATCTTGATTATGTCATTATTTTCTCTTTGGGTTACATGTGCTATTCATTTTAGTTGTTGCTGCTGTTGGTAGTCCCGAAGTGATGTGGTTTCTGTTATTTGGTATATTTTTTTTTTTTTTTTTTTAATTATTTCACGCCAAGCAAGTCAGTAGAGCCGATAACATGCTGTGGGTGACTTAGTGTGAAAGAATATAAGAAAAACATTATTAAGGATCGAGAACAATAAAACAACAGCATTTAAGAAGAGAGAAGATAAAGATTGACATTTAATTTTTTGAAGATCAAACATAAGTGGAAAGAAAGAAGCCAGAAGAGAGTACCATAAGCGAGAAATAAGAAACAAGAAACTCTTAGCATAGAATTTTAAAAAAGGGTGATCTTTGCCAAGATCCTCAGGCTCAAAGACGTTTATCACCATTTCTGGGTGTTTCCTACCTAACCTTTTAACTGAAGTGGTGTTGAACAACAACATCTTGATTGCCATTATTTTTTTTTATCGAGTTGCATGTTTGCATATACATATCACTATATACAATGTTAGTGGTAATATTCACCGTTTCCCTATAAGGAAATATTTGGTATTCATTGACCGCGCAGACAGTATTGTTTTCGGTTGAAATTTAATGGGGATTTCTTTCCTAACCTTTAATTTGCGGAATATTAGCATCTTGATTACGTCATTGTTTCCCTTCGTTGGGTTACAGAGGAAACGCTTCAATGTGCATCTGATAGGTTTTTATAAGGACAAAATGCCTTAATCTGTATACGTAGCAATAAAATATTTAAGTACAGTTTTTTTTTTTTGTTTTGTTTACTCTTTTTTTTTTTTTACAGTGAGGTTTGCCCTTTACAAGGCTTGGGAGCCACTCAAGGTAGAGGGTTACAGCTAAATAGACACAGTTTATGCAGATATGCAAGGAAGATAATGGTTAACCCTAGACATGAAAATGGGTAAGATTGTAGTGATCGGGAAAACATCCTCTTGGAAGTCGGTTCCACAGAGAAGTGGTCCGTGGCAAGAAGCTGCTCGAATGGAACTTACTTCTCAGCAAAGAAATATGGGGGGGGGGGATGAAGATGGTTCTTGACAATGGGCGTGGCATGGCGGGTCCTAGCGGTTAAGGTTAGAAACGGTGGAACTATGAAATGTAGTTCGTCAGAGCACTTTCCATGGAATTAACGATAGACCAGCGAAAGACATCCAACATCTCGTATGTGAGAGAGAGAGAGAGAGAGAGAGAGAGAGATTGCAGCATGGAAAATAATTTGTCACCTACAAGGTCGAGGAAACGCATTTCGATTCTATCGGGTCTTCATCATGAAGATTAGGACGGGTAGAACTAAGGAGTGTAGTACATCGGGACACTCACCATAGAAATAGTGTCTATAAGAAAGGGGTTGTAGGGTGTAAAATAATCCGTCACTCACAAGTACATAGAAAGGTCTTCGGACTCTATCGTGACTGGAAAGGGTAGACTGGGCAGCTCTTGCTCATATATGCCAGCACTATTCCATTTTGGAGGATACGCTTGATAACTTACCAAAAAGTGATTAACTGCTAATTGAAGTGGATAGCAGTAATAAAATGTTGTATAAATTTTAATATGTTTTACAGGGATGTTCGCTCTGTACAAGATGCAAAGTAAAGGGTTACCGAGTAAGAAGCATAGTTTATGCTGATATACGCGGAAGATAACGGTTAACCCTAGACTTGAACAGGTTAAGATTGTAGTGTTCGAGGAGCCACATCTAAAGAGTCCAGTTCCACTAAATGAAGAAGCTGCTTGAGTGGAACTTACTTCTCACCAATGAAATACGGAGAGAATGAAGGTAGTTCGTGACAATGTGTGTGTCATGGCGGGTCCTAGCAGTTAAGGGTAGAAACGGTGGAACTATGAAATGTATTTCGTTTGGGCACATTCCATGGAATTAGCGATAGAGCAGCGAAAGACATGTAACATCTCGTATGTGAGAGAGACATGGCAGGATAGTCCGAGGGGTCAGTTAATTACTATAGCCGTAGAGGGAAGCTTTTTTTAGCTTTACGAAGGCATCATTAACTATTTCAGGTCTGTTCTTGTAAAGGTAGAAGATAGCCCGAGGCGTCAGATAGTTACTATAGCCGTACAGAGAAGCAACCATTTTTGACGCTTTCTTTAGCTTTTCAAAGGCACCCTTCAGTGTTTCAGGTCTGATCTTGTAAAGGTTGAGGATAGCCAGAAGAGTCAGGTACTTACTATAGCCGTACAGAGAAGCGACCATTTTTAATGCTTTCTTTAGCTTTTCGAAGGCACCTTTCACTATTTTAGCTCTGATCTTTTAAAGGTAGAGGATAGACCGAGGAGTCAGTTACTTACTATAGCCGTACAGAGAAGCGACCATTTTTAATGCTTTCTTTAGCTTTTCGAAGGCATCTTTCACTATTTTAGGCCTGATCTTGTAAAGGTAGAGGATAGACCGAGGAGTCAGGTACTTACTATAGCCGTACAGAGAAGCGACCATTTTTAATGCTTTCTTTAGCATCTTTCACTATTTTAGGCATGATCTTGTAAAGATACAAGATAGCACGAGGCATACTATTCAGAGAACTACCATTTTAAGGCCTTTATCTTTTCAAAGGCACCTTTCAAAGGGTCTGATCTTGTAAAGGTAGAGGATAGCCCGAGGAGTCAGGTACTTATTATAGCCGTACAGAGAAGCGACAATGTTTAATCCTTTCTTTAGCTTTTTGAATGCACCTTTCACTATTTTAGGTCTTGTAAAGGTAGAGGATAGCCCGAGGAGTCAGGTACTTACTATGGCCGTACAGAGAGGCGACCATTTTTAATGCTTTCTTTAGCTTTTCGAAGGCATCTTTCACAATTTTGATTTGTAAAGGTAGAGGATAGACCGAGAGTCAGATACTTACTATCTTTCATTATTTTAGGTCTTATCTTGTAAAGGTAGAGGATAGCCTGAGGAGTCGGGTAGTTACTATAGTCGTACAGAGAAGCGACCTATACTTTAGCTTTTCGAAGGCATCTTTCATTATTTTAAGGAAGAGGATAGACCGTGGAGTCGGGTACTTACTATACCCGTTAAGGAATCCGACCATTTTCAATGCTTTCTTTAGCTTTTTGAAGACATCTTTCACTATTTGGGGCCTGATCTTGTAAAAGTAGAGGATAGCCCGAGGAGTCAGGTACTTACTATAGCCGTACAAAGAAGCGATCATTTTTAATGTTCTCTTTAGCTTTTCGAAGGCATCTCTTACTATTTTAGGCCTGATCTTGTAAAGGTAGAGGATAGTCTGAGGAGTCAGGTAGTTACTATAGCCGTACAGAGAAGCGACCATTTTTGACGCTTTCTTTAGCTTTTCGGAGGCACCCTTCACTATTTTGGGCCTGATCTTGTAAAGGTAGAAGATAGCACGAGGAGTCAGGTATTTACTATAGCCGTACAGAGAAGGGATCATTTTTAATGCTCTCTTTAACTTTTCGAAGGCATCTTTCACTACTTTAGGCCTAATCTTGTAAAGGTAGAAGATAGCCCGAGGAGTCAGGTAGTTACTATAGCCGTACAGAGAAGCGACCATTTTTGACGCTTTCTTTAGCTTTTCGGAGGCACCCTTCACTATTTTGGGCCTGATCTTGTAAAGGTAGAGGATAGCACGAGGCTTTTCGAAGGCACCCTTCAGGTATTTACTATAGCCGTTCAGAGAAGCGACCATTTTTGACGCTTTCTTTAGCTTTTCGGAGGCACCCTTCACTATTTTGGGCCTGATCTTGTAAAGGTAGAGGATAGCACTAGGAGTCAGATAGTTACTATAGCCGTACAGAGAAGCGACCATTTTTGACGCTTTCTTTAGCTTTTCGGAGGCACCCTTCACTATTTTGGGCCTGATCTTGTAAAGGTAGAGGATAGCACGAGGAGTCAGGTATTTACTATAGCCGTACAGAAAAGCGACCATTTTAATGCTTTCTTTAGCTTTTCGAAGGCACCTTTCACTATTTTAGGTCTGATCTTGTAAAGGTAGAGGATAGCCCGAGGAGTCAGATAGTTACTATAGCCGTACAGAGAAGCGACCATTTTTGACGCTTTCTTTAGCTTTTCGGAGGCACCCTTCACTATTTTGGGCCTGATCTTGTAAAGGTAGATAGATAGCACAGAAAAGGACCAGACTTTCTTTAGATAGGAGGCAATCCTTCACTATATCTTGTACAGGATAGACGAGGAGTCAGATACTTACTATAGCGTACAGAGAATTTTGACGCTTTCTTTAGGTTTTCGGAGGCACCCTTCACTATTTGGGGCCTGATCTTGTAAAGGTAGAGAATAGCACGAGGTGTCAGGTATTTACTATAGCCGTACAGAGAAGCGACCATTTTGACGCTTTCTTTAGCTTTTCGGAGGCACCCTTCACTATTTGGGGCCTGATCTTGTAAAGGTAGAGGATAGCACGAGGAGTCAGGTATTTACTATAGCCGTTCAGAGAAGAGACCATTTTTGACGCTTTCTTTAGCTTTTCGGAGGCACCCTTCACTATTTTGGGCCTGATCTTGTAAAGGTAGAAGATAGCACGAGGTGTCAGGTATTTACTATAGCCGTACAGAAAAGCGACCATTTTTGACGCTTTCTTTAGCTTTTCGGAGGCACCCTTCACTATTTGGGGCCTGATCTTGTAAAGGTAGAGGATAGCACGAGGTGTCAGAGAGTTACTATAGCCGTACAGAGAAGCGACCATTTTGACGCTTTCTTTAGCTTTTCGGAGGCACCCTTCACTATTTTTGGGGCCTGATCTTGTAAAGGTAGAGGATAGCTCGAGGAGTCAGGTATTTACTATAGCCGTTCAGAGAAGCGACCATTTTTGACGCTTTCTTTAGCTTTTCGGAGGCACCCTTCACTATTTTGGGCCTGATCTTGTAAAGGTAGAGGATAGCCCGAGGAGTCAGATAGTTACTATAGCCGTTCAGAGAAGCGACCATTTTTGACGCTTTCTTTAGCTTTTCGGAGGCATCTTTCACTATTTTAGTCCCGATCTTTAAATTTTTAACGTCGGATCGTAAGTATGAGTTCCACTTAACAGAGAAAGCGGTCATTGGGACGGGTGGCATTTGAAAGAGATATTGGTGTGTACGTGTGAGAAGTTAAATCTACATAGGTGTAATCAAGGTGGATAAAAGTAAAAAAAAATATTGGAGTATATGCGTGAATAAGTTATTACAAAGAAAGAAACCAACAATCATAGTGGGTAGTTATTTTTTGTTTTGTTTTTAATTGGAGTGTATGTGCTAAAATTATTTTAATGAAACAAAGCAGTAATCGTGGTCGCCAACAGTAAAGAAATTTATTCTTTTTTAAGTGTGAATAAAGGAAATGGTAATCGACTCGAGTTGTAAGAAAAGATTTTTGGGGTCGTGAATCATAACAGAGATAGATTTATTTTGAAAATAAAGCTAAAAGAAAAGCAAAGAATTTGATTGCGTCGTTTCACAGAACACAAACAAAAACGTATAAAGAACGACAGTACAATAAGCAAGATGTCGATACAATTGAATAATCATTGTCATTTTTAAAGGGTAGGGATAAGATAGGGGTACTGAACCAGAGTATCTTTGTCTAGCACAGTCATGGTACCCTGGCATAGATGAAACTCACTACCCCAGCGATTTGATCTGTTCAACTAACCCGCTCACCAATACACTAGTGGGACACTCTCTTTATTTACGAAATTTAGCTTTAATCTGACCCTCCGCTACGGGGCGTGGGTGGTCGCTAGATATCGAACCCAAATGTTTTGACGGAGACCAAATTGCTAACCTGTCCTACTCTCGACTAGAGAAAGGAAAAGAAAACACGGAGAGTCATAGAGAGGGGAGAAGGTGTCAAAGAGAGAGAAAGAGACATAGATAGAGAAAAAGACATAGAGAGGGAGAGAGAAAGAGATACATATATAGAGAGAAAGAAACATAGAAAGAGAGAGAGAGAGAAAGAGCGAGTGAAAGTAACATAGGGAGAGAGAAGTAGAGACAGAGAATGGGGGATCGTCAGAGCGATATAAAGAAAGAAAGAAAGAAAGAAAGAAAGAAAGAAAGAAAGAAAGAAAGAAAGAAAGAAAAAATAGAGCAGAGTGAGTGAAAGAGAGCAGAGAAAGAGAGCAGAGAAAAAGAAATATATATATACAGTGTAACCCGGATATAAGAGACCCGGATATAAGAGAAACCCGGATATAAGAGAAACCCGGATATAAGAGAGATTTTCTCTGGTCCCAAATTAGAGCCTATGTTAATGTATATAAAATAGACCAAACCCGGATATAAGAGAAACCCGGATATAAGAGACTTCTCCGGTCCCGACAACTCTCTTATATCCGGATTACACTGTATGTATATATATTATAAATTAATTGATTTAAAATATGGTTATTTTCGCTACACAGTTCCAACCATGTTTCAAAAATAGAAGCTAAAAACCCCTAATTTTATTTTTGCAAATAAATTAATATATATATATATATATATATATATATATATAGAGAGAGAGAGAGAGAGATAGAGGGGGGGTGAAGAGAGAAACAGAGAGAAAAACAGAATGAAAGAGAGATAAAGAGAGATGGAGGTGAAAAGAGATAACAAAGAGTGAGAAAGAGACATAGACAGAGAAAGAGAAAGAAAGTGAGAAAACGAAAGAAAAAAGAAAGGAGAGAAAGAGATAAAAAGCGTGAGAAAAGAGAGAGAGGGTGAAAAGACAGAGAGTGAATGAGAGAGAGAGAGAAAGAGAGAGAGAGAGAGAGAGAAAGGAGAGTGTACGTTCAAATCTGGTGCGAAACTCAGTGTTTGATTCTGATCCATGCATAATGTTTGTTTATCTAACGGTCGTAGAATATAAAAACGATCTAAAAATGTTGCGACGAAATGTCACAAATAAAAACTAAACAAGACGATACCATAAAAAATGCATGGACAACGGATTGAGAATAAGCTACCCCAGAGAGATTGTTTTTGTTTTTTTTGTTTTTTTTTCAAATTTCCAGGAAGGTGACCGAATATTATATACGCCACGAGAGGCAAACTGAAGAAGCCCGGAGAGTAAAACGGTCGAAAAAAAACGCAGTGACGATAAACAACAACCACGATGAAAACAACAATTCGAATAAAGCAGTATTGAATAAAAGTAAAACGGACGAAAAATTAGTCTTTAAAATTAAAAATGATAAATAAAAAAAACGTAGAATTAAAAAATTGATAAATATTTGCGTACCCTTCTGAAAAGCAGAGAGAAAAACTGGAAGGAGAAATGATATATATAAATAATATATATATATATATATATATATATTTATTTATTTATAAATTATATATGTATATTTTAAAAGAGAGATAAAAAAAAATACCAGTAAAGAGATTATTAAAAAGAAAAAAAAAAAACAAGAGGAAAATGTAAGATTTGTAAAGTCTCAGATTTTAGAGAAAGAAAGACTGAGAGTTTAATATAGAGAGTGAGAGCATTGACGTCGAAGAAATGCATCGAAGAGAGAGAGGTCGTCGTCTCGAGTAGAGAGAATAAGACTTTGATAGAGAGTGGTATCAATGCGATTTTCTTAGAAAGGGAAGGAACCACTAGGTTTCAATCAAGACGAATATGTAGTGTTGTAATAGAGGGCGATGCGAGGGAGAGAATATTCGAAACGCAGTGTGTTGTAAGGCCTTCGTCTGAGAGAGAAACGCTAAGACGCGTATAGGGAGAGGGAGTGTCACGACACAGTCCTCGCCTGAACTGGCTTACCAGGAAGAAAGATGGAATGGAGTTCGTTTTTCAATACATCGTCGTCATTTCTAACAGTAAAATAGAGAGGCCCGTAAGGGACCTTGGCACCTGGTAGTCGACCCTAAAAGACAGCCACACCCTAAAAAGAGACAAAAAAAAAAAAAAAAAAAGAAAAGAAAGGAATCTGGTGGCTTTTCTGGTCGACATCAAGACTCTGTATATATTCTATATATAGATGTGATATATATATATATATATATATATATATATATATATATATATAAACAAAAAAAAATCCTATCTTTAAAAAAATAACACACTTGACATAAGAGGAATGGGAGATATTTCAACTACCAGGATTTTACTAGTTAGCGCAAATGTGGGATCTATATTTGAAGATGTAAGTTTTATATTTATTTACTTGTCATTTATGAGGAGGTGCTGAAAAGCTTACCACCAGAATCGCTAACCCCAAAATCGGTATTCTGATTTTTGATCATTAAATAAATAAAAAAAAATACTTATATAAATTGAGGAGTTGGTTGCGCCGAGAACTTTTCAGCGTTTCCTCAATTAAAAAAAAAAAAATTTAATTTTTTTTATTTCAAAATTTTAATCTTATTTTTTAACCTTATTTAAAAATAATCATAATAAATAACACTAATTATTTCTTATATTTATTAATTAATTTCTTTAAAAAATTAGAAAATAATTACATAATTATTTTATTTTTATTTATTTTTTTTATTGTCATAAAAAAATCCCCTAAAAAAAACAAAAAAAAATACAAAAAAACTTGAAACTGAAAGTTATCTTCTTACATTTAATTTACAATGTTTATTTATTTAATTTTAAAATTCAGGTTGAATTTAAATTTAATTCAGAGACTGTTGATTTTTAAAAAAATATTTACTAACCGACTTAAACATAAAAAGATTCAAAAAAAGTCAAAACCAAATTCCTTTTCTTTTTCATTTTCTTTATTTTTTTCACCTTTTTCTTTAAAAAATCGATAATTTATTTAATAATTATTTGTTCTTTACATTTTTACCTGAAAAAAAAAATGTTTACAAGTAACATTTATTTATCTGACGAATAATGATAGATTTTTTTTTAATTCTGAATATTGAAAATATTAATAATTTTTTTATGTTATTCATTCTTTCATTTATTTTTTTTAACAATGTTTTTTTTTTTTTAGAAGCGATTTTATTTTTATTTTTTAATTGCAATACTTGGACTTAAATTTATTGAAACCCTGACAAAAAAATCAACGTAAAACAGAACAGAAAGTTATGAAAAAAAATAAAAATAAAACCATTTTTTTTTATGTAAAAAAACATTTATTTGTATAAACAAAACAGTAAACATCTTTTGCTTTTCTTTTCATATACAAGAAACTCTATGCATTGCAAATTAAAATAAATCAATGTGAATATCATGTTAAATTTAATTAATTAATAAATTAATATTTACTGATATTTTTTTAAAGAAATAAATTTATTAAAAATTAGTTTCAAAACACAATAAATTGAAAAAGAAGACCGTCAACAAAATGCCAAAAATATTTTTAGGATTTCAATTTCTTCACTTTTAAAAATAATTAAAAATATTCAAGAACTTCAATCAAAAATGTATATTTATTTTTTTTCTTTTAATTTGTATTCTAGATAATTTTAAAATAATAAAATTATTATTTAAAAAAAATAACTTTTTTGTTAAATATTGCAAACATTGTTTACAATTTATTTTTTGTAACTAAAAAAATGTGTCAGTAGTAATATATGTTTTATTTTATTTTTTTTCGTGTAAAAACAAAAAAAAACTTAATTATTTTTTAATATTTGAAAAATTAAATATTTGTTTACAGACTGAGGATTTCTTTTAGTTTTGTTTGAATTTTTATTTATTTTTATTCTTTTTGCTTTGCAAAATGCTTATTAAAAAAAAACATCATTGCAAAATGAATATTTATTTTTTTTTGTTTGTAATTAAAAAGTCTTTAGATTAATTAAATTATTTTATTTACACTTCATAGTTAAAACGTTTTTAAATCATTATTTCGGAAAATATAATCATTTAAAATGTTTAAAAAGTTAAAACCTTGGTAATATTTGCAATATGAGGTCAGGCAAAAACAATCATTGTTATTTTGTATATTTCCTTGAAGAAAGATGGTGTCCCAGAAATAACGTTCCGTGTTTATTTCTTGTTAATGTTTGATGTGTAATAATGTCTAACAGGGAATGTAATATCATTTTTTTTTTTTCAAAGCATAGTTCTTTTAAGGAATAGAAAGATAATTTAATAATCTTTCTAATTATTTTTCTTTTCTTTTGATCCCAGATCGAAATATTTAACCATAAAAAAAAATAAAAAAAAACCGGTGCAAATTCTGTTTTCATCATCATAATAAAATGTCCCAGAAATTAAGTACTGAACTGTCATATCCTTTTTTTTGTTGCTTAAAAGGTCATAAGTACAATTATCTTCTTATTAAAATGTCGCAGTCTTAAAAAAATCGAACATTTTTCAAGTAATATCGATTTTTTTTTAAATTTATATATATATTTTTATAAGGTTTTATTTTTAGTGTAATAATCGAATGAACTTTGCATAGACTTCACTTTTGAAATGGGGTTTATTTTTTTAAATTGTATTTATTTAAAATAGAAATAAAAGAAAATAAGGAAAATTTGTTGCTTTTTTTTTTTTCCTACAATCGAAACAGCTTAAAACTTTTGACATCACTAAATTTATTTTTTTAATTGCTTTTTTTTTTAAATTCAGAACTCAAATCAATGCAGGTGTCCGTTTTTAAAATTTGCAATAAAAGACATGTTTCAGTTTCACGTAGGAAAGAATTCTTTTGTATCTCTTGTAAAATAAAAAACAAAACAAAAAAAACACAAATTAAGCATCGAATCTTTACCTATTTACTTTAAAATATATCTTCAAACAGTTTTAAATTTTATTCATAATTTTAAAAAAAATTCGTATGTCTTTTAAAATGAAAACATAACTACATGCCTACAAGATCAAGGATAAACCGTTTACTTCTTCTTCTTAACAGAACTACTAATTTTTCCTTGATAAATATTTACCAGTTGATGGCTTTATTTAATTTAATAGTTAGAAACCAGGCCGATTTTTTTTATTTTTATTTTCTTGAAGATGAAGGAATTGAAATATAGACGTCCATATTTTATTTATTTTCATATGAACTTTTAAGACTTCCAGATATTAAAATGGATCATTCATTTATCTTCTAATATTTAAAAAGAAAAAACATAGAAACCATTACGTAGGCTTCCTTTTGGTTTGGTCTTTCTCTCTGTACCTTGGGTTCATAGCAGAAATAGATACGAAACCAAGTCAATATAAATAAGTCTATTTCTTATATATATATATATATATATATATATATATATATATATATATATACACACACTTTACTACTACTTCTACTACTAAGACAAAAGACATTTTTGATTATGTTACAATACATAGTTACAAAGTATTTTTTCTTACAGAACTACTTTCCATAAACCATTTTTTACATATCTATTTCATGGGTGTGTTTCTGTTTTCAAACTACATTTCATGCATGCAGTTGAAATAATATTCCTCCTGCACGTTGTAAGTTCGTTCATACACATTTGATGTATATCGCCAGCTATTCTACAGAGTGTGGTACAAGGCCAAAATGAGTTTCAGAACAGGTGAGAGAACCTGTCCACATGTGAAATTCAAACTCTCTCTTTTTTTTTTTTTTTTTTTTTTTGTTACAAAAAATCGAAGATCAACCGCTGATATCTCACCCACAAGGCAGATCTCTCTGTCTCTTATTTTATATCCGAGAGAGATAGAAAGAGAGAGACTGGAGGTATAGAGGTATATAGGCTCTCTCTCTAGTCTATACCTCCAGCCAGTCTCTCTCTCTTTCTATACGTCTATAATAGAGACGAATAGGGGTACAGATAGAACATCTTCCCTCATACATAACTCTATATATCTGTCACTATACATCTCTGTATATGTCTATCTCTCTCTTGAGTCTCTTCTCATAATAAAACAGCTTTTTTTACATCCGTCCATTCATCCATTTTTTCCTTCCTTCCTTCGTATGGACATTTATGGTCTTTTTTGGGGGGTAATAATAATAATATAATTCGGTGTCCAAAAATAATTTGTTGCTTCTGGAAGGAATAGTGTAACAACATGCATCGATTGTGACACTGTTCGATTTTGAAGTGGGGTGATGTCTAAGTTTTTACAGTTACACAGAGACCTATGTAAATCTATTTTGCTTTTTTGTCGAGGAGGAGTGATTTTGGGGAACGTCTTCACGACTTGGTGCGTATTTGCAATTACACGTCAGGAAACATTTTTGATTGCATCGCCTCATCATTTAGTCTTCATCATACTGCGAAATGATCCATTTCCTTTTTCCTTAAGTTCATAGTTTCATATAGAATACTGCGTCAGTGATGTCTCTAGTATCAGGGTGGTGTAGTAATAATTAAAATTAATTTCAGTTAATAAATAATAAATAAAACTAAAAGTAAAACTAAAAATCTTTCAAGGTGTGGCAATTTTAGTATACAATTTGTAACGTTTTTTTTTGTATTTTTTCGTTATGAGTGCTGAAAAGATATCTACCTAATCAAGAAGCCATTCAAAAAACAGAAAAAAAATAAAAGCATATGATGTCTTCGGTCAGATTTTTGAGTGATTCGGTAACATACACACACACACACACACACACCTTCCTACATTCGCACGCATAATCAAAAAGCCTGGACATAAATTATTATTACCTTAAAAATAAACGTAAATGGTGTACTATACATTTCAATATCATAATCTGAATCGATATATTTTCCCACTTTCTCAATGTAATTAATAACTTGTTTGGTACGATTCTTCTATGTGCCGTGTCCCTTCAGGACGTGGTCGATCATGTCTCTCCACAATTTTCTTGTAAAGTTTATCTTTTTTGCTATCTCTCCTAAATCTGTTTTCTGCCAACCATATACACAAGACAAGAAGCTAGTTGGGTAGGTGTATACGTCGATTTCCTCTGTTCCTTTTGACTCCAAGTTGTGAGTGTCACATTCTACAAGCCCTCGCTCCTCA